TTTCATCAGCTTCAGTTCATCTTCATCGTCTTGCCTAAGTCGGCTTCTTTGTATGTCTTGTGTCTCTCTCTTTCAGATAAACTTTCTTTAATAGATCTTGTCCTCTTCCTAATCTCATCTTGTTCAAATGTTACACATTTTTTTGTAGTATTTCACATCTCGAACAGCTGAGATTCAAATAATAGGTTATGATTTGATCAATGCATAGAAAAGACAATCTTTTCACTTTGTATTCGTAGAAAAAATCGATATATCAGCAAAGATTTAATTCTTAAGATTTGGTAAAAAAAATTGAATTTTACATAACCACTCACATATGTACTAATTACTAAATTTTTACATAAATAAGAATATACAGCACTGTCAACATTAAAAACACAAAACTCTAAAACAAAGAAAAAAAATTGGTTCCTAAAACTTAAAAAAAAATGTGAGGCCATATACTTATGTATCATATTTTGGTTCATCCACGGCTCTGAGAACCGTCAACATACTGCCTATGTTGCTTAATGTTGTATCTCGACTGTTAGTTTTAGGTACCATGCTTCTAATCTTTTATGGAAAATAAAATTATTTTGATCGATAGACTCATATTTTAGTTTCTTTCTAAATACTTCAAAATTTGTTAGAGGAAATTGAATAGTTCTATAATATGAAATACAACAAAATGGATTTTACAAACTCCGTTGTATTAATTATTCAATAACCAACCACCTCTAATTTTACAAACTCCCGCATACACATCATCATGCATGCAACAGTTATATCATGTACAGGAGACCGACATTGCAAATCTGCAACAGGAAACCGACATTGCAAATCTGCTACTGGTGGTCCATTGTTTGTGTGCCATAAGTGATGATGCAAATGCTGCTGATATCTATAGTAGACAGAATTGGAATAAAATTAGTTATAAAAACTGAGATTTCAAAATGTTCTTCTTTTTGTGTGTTAGAGATTTCAAAATAAATTTGGTTATAAAATCTGAGATTTGGTTGAAAGAGTAGATTTTTTTTTGCAAAAAATTAATACATTTTCTTTCGATAAAATCTATCAAAACTATAAATATGAAAAATATAGTTTACAATTTATTTTCGAGAAAAAGTATTTGAATTGAGTTGTTTAATTTCTTATATATGTGCCTGAGACAAATATCCAGAGTCTCCAACAGGTTGTCTATATGCTACATGACATCACCAATAAGGCTGATTCTTGTGAGGTTTTTGGAGACAACTTTGATAATCATGACACATCATTGTTATCATTTTATCTAATTTATATACGCTTGCATCAGTCTTCGTGTTTGTTTAATAATAAAGAAATTTTTTATTATTGGTATCTTTGTGAGATGATGGAACTATGTACTTGTCAGTCTAATTAGTATCTTTGTAATAATTAATATTTGATTTATCATAGTTGTGTTTGTGAGGTGATGGAATTGTGTATTAGTCTGTCTAAAACTCCTTAATATTTGATATATTCTCATTGTGTTTGTGAGATGATGGAATTATGTATTTCTTGATCTATCCTCATTTCATCTTCTCGCTCACAATATCGTTTTTCTTAATTTCCCGAATGTCTTATTTCAATTAGCTCTTAGAAATAGCTTACAAAATTAATAAACACACAAATCCATTTATCTGGTGGTAAAAGGAGTTCCATATATAGATTTAAACTGCGAAGAAGCTATACTGATTATGAATGGTTAATCTTACATTTATATATGGGTATGATCGATAACCGAACAACATAAGCCTTATCATATCTTGTTGAAGATCTTTTGCAGTAAACAAAAAAAGTAATCTGTTGAAATCTTGGTACGATGAAATTTACTATTAACTAGTGTTAGTATTACCCGTTTTATAATTCAAGCCAGTTTGTAATTATCAAGACTTGCACCTGAAGCATTATCAAGTTCACCAATTTCAGGCACTTCTACTTCCAATCTGAAAGGAATAAAAGAATATCTTTATGATTTATCACTGAATATAAAAATACAAGAATTGTATAAGATAAATACAACTTTAATCTTGATCTTTAATGTTTTTTTTTGGAAATTGGCCTTATTATTTTAAAAAAACAGGATATTGGGCTTGATTAGTTACTGCTGTAGTTTTAATTTTTTTTGCTGTAGAAATAAAGCTGTAAATTTTTTGTTGTGGCTATAGATTTTAATTCTTTAGAATTTAGTTATGTATGATTTTTAATTTTTCAGTACCAAAATTTAGTATTTACATATTTTGCTTTATACAGCTAAAATATTAAAAAAAGAAAAGAAAGATTTGTAACTTAAAAAAATATGTGTAAAACATGATTGAAAAAATTTAGTATTTGTGGATTCGTTTACCATGGATCAAACTGTACTAGATGAATATTCATAAAATCATAATTATCTCAAGTTTCTTTGGCTGGTCTTTTTACTACTCTCTCTATTTTTTATATAAGATGTTTTAGAGATTATTTTTTGTTCAAAAATAATTGATGTTCTCACATATCTATGCAGAAATTAATTATATTTAAGTTTTTTGACTAGTTTTTTTACTAACATTACATATTTAACGATTGTATAAAAAAATAAAATCACATTTTGACTATTTTAGTAGACTTGTTTACCATGTATCAAATTGTACTAGTTGAATATTAATAAAATCATAACTATCTCAACTTTTTTTTGACTGTTTTTTCCCTAACATTTAAGATTTAACGATTATATAAAGAAAGAAAATCACATTTTTTAACTGTTTTAGTATTTGTGGATTCGTTTACCATGGATCAAACTGTACTAGATGAATATTCATAAAATCATAATTATCTCAAGTTTCTTTGACTGGTCTTTTTACTACTCTCTCCATTTTTTATATAAGATGTTTTAGAGATTGTTTTTTGTTCAAAAATAATTGATGTTCTCACATAGCTATGCAGAAATTAATTATATTTTTATTATTTTAAGTGTTTAAATTTTGTATACTGTTTTTTTATTGGTTGAATTGTTTTGAAATTGATGATAAAGCATATTTTGTTTTGAAAAATACGAAATTAAATAATTTCTTAATTTATGTGTAAAATCCTTAAATATCATATAAAAAATGGAGGGGGTAACATTTAAGATTTAATGATTGTATAAAGAAATAAAATCTTATTTTGACTGTTTTAGTAGATTTGGATTCGTTCACCATATCAAATTGTACCAGATAAAATTTTAATAAAATCAAAATTATCCCAAGTTTCTTTTACCTTTTTTTATTAACATTTCAGATTAAATGATTATATAAAGAAATAAAAATCATATTTTGACTGCTTTAGTAGACTTGGATTTGTTTATCACATATCAAACTGTACTAGATGAATATTAATAAAATCATAATTATCCTAAGATTCTTTAACTGGTTTTTGTACTAACATATTTTAGATTTAGCGATTGTATTATTGATATAAAATCACATTTTGATGGTTTGAGTAGATTTGGATTTGTTTACCATGTATACAATTGTACTAGATAATTATTAATAAAATCATAATTATCCCAAATTTCTTTGATTGATTTTTTTACTAACATTTAAGATTTAACAACTGTATAAAATAAAATCATATTTTAACTGTTTTAGTATATTTGGATTTGTTTACAATGTATCAAATTGTATTTCTACAAATGTGCCAATAATATCATTGACCAATTCAATGTTTTGTTTGAATAACATATTATTTCCTTATGGATACTAAAACAAATTGTATAAAGAAATAAATAATATTTTGACTGTTTTATTAGATTTGGATTCTTTACCATGTATCAAAATGTACTAGTTGAATATTAAATCTCAACTTTTTTTTTAACTGGTTTTTTTCCTAACATTTAAGATTTAACGATTATATAAAGAAAGAAAATCACATTTTTACTTGTTTTAGTATTTGTGGATTCGTTTACCATGGATCAAACTGTACAAGATGAATATTCATAAAATCATAATTATCTCAAGTTTCGTTGACTGGTCTTTTTACTACTCTCTCCATTTTTTATATAAGATGTTGTAGAGATTGTTTTTTGTTCAAAAATAATTGATGTTCTCACATATCTATGCAGTAATTAATTGTATTTTTATTGTTCTAAGTGTTTAAATTTTGTATATTGTTTTTCTATTGGTTGAATTGTTTTGAAATTGATGATAAAGCATATTTTGTTTTGAGAAAATACAAAATTAAATGATTTCTTAATTTATTTGTAAAATCTTTAAATATCATATAAAAAATGGAGGGGGTAACATTTAAGATTTAATGATTGTATAAAGAAATAAATCTTAAATTGACTGTTTCAGTAGATTTGGATTCGTTCACCATATCAAATTGTACTAGATAAAATTTTAATAAAATCATAATTATCCCAATTTTCTTTGAATTTTTTTATTAACATTTCAGATTTAATGATTATATAAAGAAATAAAAATCATATTTTGACTGCTTTAGTAGACTTGGATTTGTTTACCACATATCAAACTGTACTAGATGAATATTAATAAAATCATAATTATCCTAAGTTTCTTTAACTGGTTTTTGCAGATTTGGATTTTAGTAGATTTGGATTTGTTTACCATGTATACAATTGTACTAGATGACTATTAATAAATTCATAATTATCCCAAATTTCTTTGATTGATTTTTTTCTAACATTTAAGATTTAACAACTGTATAAAATAAAATCATATTTTAACTGTTTTAGTATATTTGGATTTGTTTACAATGTATCAAATTGTATTTCTACAAATGTGCCAATAATATCATTGACCAATTCAATGTTTTGTTTGAATAACATATTATTTCCTTATGGATACTAAAACAAATTGTATAAAGAAATAAATAATATTTTGACTGTTTTATTAGATTTGGATTCTTTACCATGTATCAAATTGTATGTCTGCATGTGTCAATAATATCATTGACCAATTCAATGTTTTGTTTGAATAACATATCATTTCAACATTACCATATAATGCTTAACTTTATCAGCAAACAACTTGTATATATATATATATCGAACATAAGCAACCTCGATTTCTCATAAATCATATTAATATAACTAAACATTTAAGAGTATAAAGAGTTCAAAGATAAGCGATGGTTTATTCAAGATTTGTTTTTTTTGCTTTGCTCATTCTTTTCGTTTTACTTGCAGGTTAGTTTCATTAGATCAAACCCGTGCCAAGGCGTTTTTCTATTAATATTATTTCTAAACCAATTTTTTGGATATATGTTATTTTGCAGGTGTTGAATCCACGAACATGGTGAGTGAAGATTCCAACAAAGAAGTTTTATCACTTTCCAATGATCAACCCAGGCTTGGAGTATGTAAGGCTCTCTCATGCAATGTTTCGTGTCTTGAAGAGTGCGGGAAAGGTGGCATTTGCGAGAAAGGACTTTGCAAGTGCTTCTGCCAAATTCCTCCGAACTAAAAATATACTCTATGATCCTTTCTAAATAATAACAAACATTATTTCAAATCTTTAGAAGCTGATTATTAATAATTTAATATTTGTTCAAATAATAAGAGTTAAATGGATCAATACATAAAAAGACAATCTTTGCCCTACGTGTCGAAAAGATCAGTATATGAGCAAAGATAAATTCTCAAAATTTGGTAAAAGAAAAATGAAAGTGTTGGACTTATATTTAACAAATAAGATTATTCTGATCGAAAGACTTATATTTTAGTTTTTTTTGTTCAAATTGTAAAGTTATAATGTCTGAGGACTTATTATTAGAGCATCTTAGATGTATTATTTTATTTTTCATCTCAAAATATAATAATGGCAAAATAGAATTGGATTCCTTTCCAATATAAGATTCTATTTTCTATTCCAAATTAAATATTTTAAGTATATTTTGTTTTCTAATTTACTATTAATTATTAACTATACAAACTTCAAAAAAATTACAAATAGACATATTCATTTTTTTATATATAAACTTCTATGAATTATGGTATTTTTTTAAATCATAGCAATTATAAATAAAAGAGAAAGACATTACACTACTTAGAAAATAATAAAACAAAGTAAATTTTAGTTTATATTATTTTCAATTTTTAATACTTTTAAAATATTTTTAAGTCTAATATGATTTTTAATTTTTTTTTATTAAATATAAGCTCTTTGTATTTTTATTTTAGATATTCTAGTGTTTTAATATTTATAATCATCAGTAAAAATAAATCATCATCAAAATAATTATTTATAACTCGTAAAATAAAATTATTAAAAATTTAAAAGACTAATTTATATAAAAAGGTTTAATTCTAAAAAGAATTGAAAATGAAATAGTTCAAGCAAAAATAGCATTATTCATTTTTAGCATAAAAATAAGATAGGCTTGGAGCAAATTTTATGCTAAAATGAAATTTAACACCAAATTTGATATAGAGTTGGAGATGCTCTTACTATTTTTTTTTTAAAATATCATTAAAATATTTGATAACTGCTTTAAAACATTAATTGTTTTTGATAAGATGTGAATAATGTTAATAAACTTTAGATATTTAAGAATCATTGACCCGCATTTAATCAGCTCATTTTCCGGAAACCAAAAGAGTTTAATCAGCTCATTTTCCCGTTTAGGTCTTATAAACATTTTTTTTATATAAATTTTTGTACTTACTCTTTTCTTCCACAATCGGGACATCATTTCAAATACATCAGGTAACAAAGAGGAAGATAAGAGAATAGATACAAAACTATAAAACAAATGTGAAGAAGCAAGTATAAAGATAATTCCATGAACCAGAGAAGATGGATTGAGGGAGAGCAGCGTCATAGTTGGATGAATTTGAACCACATTTAAATGAATGATTCTGAATCAAAGTTATGGTCAAAACATATCCCTTCTGTCGAAACCCGCACAAGTTTTGCTCTAATGAGAAGTTGGACCGCTTTAACCAACGCCGAAACTTCTAAACGTTTACTGGAATTTAAATTAGAAACTTGAATAATCTTTAGTTTATAGATACTCCTAGAAGACGATAGAAAGTTGCACAACATGATACAAGTATATGCTTCCTTTAGTCATATTTTAAATTGTTTTAGTTACCTAATTAGTTATTAAAAAACGTGACATCATAATTCTGATACTTGTGTTTTATAGCCAAACATGTTATCCTCTTTACAAGTTCTAGGTGATCAAACAATCCAACAAACACAATCCACTTCTAGGAGATAGAGAATGCACAGAGAATGCAAGGACTAAAGCAAATCTAAGCAAAATGAGGCCTTATGAATATTAGTTCTTATTAATCTCTTGTAACTTCCCTATTTAAACCCTAGACTCGAAACTAAGCGATTCAAACAGCCATCTAGCAACCCGATATACTAAATATTCTCCACTTCTAATGCAATGAAGTAAATATGCTTGGATTGATTCAAAATTAGGTGTCTAAAAAAAACAGAAGAGAAAGAACGATTCAAGAAGAGAGAAGGAAACTCGGCAGTGTAAACAACATGCAGATTAGGCGACGGATTTGCTTTCCTTGCTCTCTCCGTTTTACTTACAGGTTAGTCTTATTAGATCAAAACCAAATTAAACGGGCAGGTTTTTCTTTTTATTACTTTAATTTTTTTGTTTTTTTTAATATGTAACTATGTATGTGTGTTATTTTGCAGATGTTGAAGCTATTGACGTGGTGAGTGATGGTTCACTTTGGTTACCCAACAAAGGAGCTTCATTGTGTTGCAAAGATCACCTTTAATTTGGAGTATGTAATGATGAGGAAAAGTGTAAAAACTGTTGTCTTCATGGTTGTGACAATAATAAAGGTGGCTTTTGCAAGAACAAAGTTTGTCACTGCTACTGCTAAAATTCATTTAAATTATATATACACATTCTATGCTTTATTTTGTTTTCTCTAAATATTGATCAGTAAAATATCAATAAACAAAATTTGTTGCTATTTCACATCTCTAATAACTGAGTTTAACTGTTTTAAAATTCATTATAAATGATAATTTTTAGTAAGGTTTTAGTTGTATATGAATGGATCAGTGGGAAGAAAATAGAATGTAGAGCATTGTGTAGAGTCGATGAATATAAAGTGGAAATATTTGGACATACAAAAAATGAAAATTTGGGTCCTAGTTCTAGAGTAGACAGCCATCTTTGCGAGAACATTATTTTGTAATCAAATATTGTAGATTATATAAAAATTAATTAAGTAAATGGCAAAAATAATAAAAACAAAAGTTGTTTTGGAGAAAAAGAATAACTTGTTTTTTCGGAAGAAGATATTTGTCTGTAATATGAGTTAACAAGAACTCTCATGTTTATGAGTTTATCTGTTTTTGATCGTTCTTAAAACTTGTATTAATTGTTCAAAGTATTGATATAATCAGATTTTTAATAAATAAATAAAAAGAATGAAAAGAGTAATGATTTTTTTTTCTGATGAAAACTTTTAGCCGTTAAAGTCGTTAAAAGTAAAAAAAATAGATCGTTACCTTTCATCAGTTTCAGTTCATCTTCATCGTCATGCCTAAGTCGGCTTCTTTGTATGTCTTGTGTCTCTCTCTATCAGATAAACTTTCTTGATTAGATCTTGTCCTCTTCATAACCTCATCTTGTTCGAATGTTGCACATTTTTTTGTAGTATTTCACATCTCGAACAGCTGAGACTCAAATAATAAGTTATGATTTGATCAATGCATAGAAAAGACAATCTTTTCACTTTGTATTCGCAGGAAAAACCTATATATTAGCAAAGATTTAATTCTTAAGATTTGGTAAAAAAAAATTGAATTTTACATAACCACTCACATATGTACTAATTACTAAATTTTTACATAAATAAGAATATACAGCACTGTCATCATTAAAAACACAAAACTCTAAAACAAAGAAAAAAAATTGGTTCCTAAAACTTAAAAGAAAAATGTGAGGCCCTATACTTATGTATCATATTTTGGTTCATCCACGGCTCTGAAAACCGTCAACATACTGCCTATGTTGCTTAATGTTGTGTCTCGACTGTTAGTTTTAGGTAGCATGCTTCTAATCTTTCATGGAAAATAAAATTATTTTGATCGATAGACTCATATTTTAGTTTCTATCTAAGTACTTCAAAATTTGTTAGAAGAAATTGAATAGTTCTATAATATGAGACTAAAATACAACAAAATGGATTTTACAAACTCTGTTGTATTAATTGTTCAATAACCAACCACCTCTAATTTTACAAACTCCCGCATACACATCATCAGGCATGCAACAGTTATATCATGTACAGGAGACCGACATTGAAAATCTGCAACAGGAGACCGACATTGCAAATCTGCAACTGGTGGTCCATTGTTTGCGTGCCATCAGTGATGATGCAAATGCTGCTGATATTTATGGTAGACAGAATTGGAATAAAATTAGTTATAAAAACTGAGATTTTAAAATGTTCTTCTTTTGTGTGTTAGAGATTTCAAAATGAATTTGGTTATAAAATCTGAGATTTGGTTGAAAGAGTAGATTTTTTTTACAAAAAATTAATACATTTTCTTTCGATAAAATCTATCAAAACTATAAATATGAAAAAATATATTTTACAATTTATATTCGAGAAAAAGTCTTTGAATTGAGTTGTTTAATTTTTTATATATGTGCATGAGACAAATATCCAGAGTCTCCAACAGGTTGTCTATATGCTACATGACATCAACAATAAGGCTGATTCCTGTGAGGTTTTTGGAGACAACTTTGATAATCATGACACATCATTGTTATCATTTTATCTGATTTATATACGCTTGCATCAGTCTTCGTGTTTGTTTAATAATAAAGAAAATTTTTATTATTGGTATCTTTGTGAGATGATGGAACTATGTACTTGTCAGTCTAATTAGTATCTTTGTAATAATTAATGTTTGATTTATCATAGTTGTGTTTGTGAGGTGATGGAATTGTGTATTAGTCTGTCTAAAACTCCTTAATGTTTGATATATTCTCATTGTGTTTGTGAGATGATGGAATTATGTATTTCTTGATCTATCCTCATTTCATCTTCTCGCTCACAATATCGTTTTTTTTAATTTCCCGAATGTCTTATTTCAATTAGCTCTTAGAAATAGCTTACAAAATTAATAAACACACAAATCCATTTATCTGGTGGTAAAAGGAGTTCCATATATAGATTTAAACTGCGAAGAAGCTATACTGATTATGAATGGTTAATCTTACATTTATATATGGGTATGATCAATAACCGAACAACATAAGCCTTATCATTTCTTGTTGAAGATCTTTTGCAGTAAATAAAAAATAGTAATCTGTTAAAATCTTGGTACGATGAAATTTACTATTAACTAGTGTTAGTATTACCCGTTTTATAATTCAAGCCAGTTTGTAATTATCAAGACTTGCACCTGAAGCATTATCAAGTTCACCAATTTCAGACACTTCTACTTCCAATCTGAAAGGAATAAAAGAATATCTTTATGATTTCTCACTGAATATAAAATACAAGAATTGTACATGATAAATACAACTTTAATCTTGATCTTTAATGTTTTTTTTTTTTGGAAATTGGCCTTATTATTTAAA